TGTGTGTGTGTGTGTATCTTACATGAATTATATTTATATTATATCTCTACCGGTTATTTTTAGTTTAAGCGGTTTGGTGGGTGACTAAGCGATTTTACTATACACGAGAAGAAGATCCTTACACTTGTTGAACCTGATACAGTAAAGGATATCAATGAATGAGCTTCATTTTATTCATTGCAAAGGCACCCTATATCTACTGCTACATTAACCATTCACGTCGTTCCTAAAATATGTGTCAACTGTGGTACACAATTCAAGGTTGCATAAATATTGGTTGCTTGGATTGCCACTTGGCTATATGACATTAGATTCTAATAATTTGGATATAATTTTTTTACTGAAAAACTATAAATATCTTCATTAATTTCTATGGTTGCCTATCTTCATTAGCCACCCAAAACTTTATCTGTCCTTGCTATCTTTAGACCTTATACCTTCCAAACGTGTCTATCATCCAGTTGAACTTTTAACAAGTGTTGTTAGTCTATATCATTTGCTTTCAATTACAAGTTTGTGAAGTTCACAATATCTTTGACAAGTTGTGGAGAGAGATGTGGCACAATGTTGAAACTTTAGCAACAGTAAAGGGAATTAAGCTTTAAGTTTTGTATGACTTTAATTCTTAAATTAAAGAATAAAACTATATGTGCGTGAATTAGTTTCCAAGCTTTATGTTAATAATGATATTTCGATTTCCAGCATGCCATGTGAGGTGCTTACAAAATTGGAAATTCTAGATGCAATAGTGGTTGGATTACTAATAAGGTGAGGATTCCTTGATGTATATCATGAGTTGTCAGACCATTGAGTGAAATTAGTTGAAGATAAAGAATAATTTGTATTACCTGAATGTCATGTGGGAAAGAGAACACAAAGAGTAGTTTGTGACACCTTGTTTTGTAGTCATTACAAAGAAATCAAATAATCAATAATGATCATTGACCATGGCATTCTCCTTTTCTTATATGTTATAACCATGTCATCCAAACTAGTATATGCGCACTTTGATTATTCACCGAATAGATGTTAAGAAATTACCTAATCTTTTCCGTCTGCTAAAACTTCAACTCATGATTTCATGACCGCTAAGCCATATCTTTAGGTGTCATGAATATTTTGTATATTACTATTCACCTTAAATAGCGGGAGTGATTTCTCGAGCCTCGAGGGATATAATATGTTTAGCATGCGAGAGTTCACTTATCCTAGTCCTATATTTCTCCAAAATGGAACAGTTAATTCTAAGCTAGTCGTAGAAGCACCATATAGATAATAATGATGATTAATTTGAACCAAAATCATTTAGTAATTTTTTGAAAGACAGAAAAAAGAGAGAGGTGGAAAGACCAGAAAGTAACAGGATAAAGTATGTGGTAAAATTACCTTAAAGTAATCAAATGGATCTAGATATCAAGAAACTGTTTTTTAATGGTTAAACTAAACACATTGTCATCATTTTCCTTTTTTCAGCAACCCCTACTTCGGTTAGACCATAGCCTTCTATCATTTGGATGGGTTAGTTAATCGATTACAAGAAATCCAACTAGTTCATGTTCCCTTTTGTCATTTTGCACCCTTCACGGCAAGCAAGGAATAAAGCTAAATCATTATTCCTCTAATAGCATTTTTTTTTCAAAATCTCAGTGACTAGTACATTCACATCGAGCTAATTTTACAATAACAATAACAACCAACCTAGTAGAGTCCGGTGATAGTAATGTGTACGCAAATCTTACCTCTACCTTTATAAGGTAGGAAGTTGTTTCCGATAAACCATCGGCTCAAGGAACAGTGAAACAATCGAGCTATCTTTAACATAGTAAAAAAAGATAGATATTTTGGGGAATTCTCAGTGTAACAAAATGCAATTGTTGTTCATTGAGTGGTTTTTGCTAACATTCAAGTATCAATATTTCTACATATGAATGACTATAACATGGCTATCAACAAGACAAACATTACAACCGGAAATTGGTGATAGCATGACTGAAGTGACTCCCAATTATTGACTCAAGTGGAAAGATATATGAAACAGGGGAATCTAACAGTAACTCTAGATACAGAAAGAATGGAGATAAGGTACCAAACCAACTGGTGGAAAGAAGAAATTTCACACCGCACAATCCCTCAAACTAATAAGCAAAGATACTTTTCTACTGACTTACTCAAATCAAAGCAAATCCCAATTGTGAGGTTGGGTAGAAGCAGCATGATTATTATTGGTTGGTGTGGCTGAATAATGATCCAGCAACGATGCTGGCGCAGGGTCAAATGTTTCCCATTGTGTAGTTATGACAACAGAACCCGAGGCAGAGTGCCTTGATGGCTGCTGCTGCTGCTGTTTTGTTTGTGCAGGAGAATGCGCGAACGAATGCCTGACATTCTTGTTTTGAACTGGCGATGATGCTTGCTCATTGGAATACCTGCGTTGGTGATGATGATGCTGTTGAGATGGGGAGGTTTCCTGTTTTGGAATGTGATTCCCATTGCTTGTTGGCGCTGAATTTTTTATCTTCAATAAATCTAGTGTTTCAACATATTTTTGCACTCTTTTCACCTGTGCAAACAAAATAACATGCTTTAGTCCAATCCTAGAGCAATTGTACAATTCAAATGGCTGAGGTCGACTAAGTTAATACCTGCATTTTTCTCTGCAGTTTAACATCACCTTCAGCTGTAATACCATCCAATTTAAGCAGTTGATTCATCAATAGTTCTATCACATTAACCAAATCCTTTTCTGCAACTTTTGCACCTTTGGAAATTACAGTTTCGAATGCAGATACCTAAGCAATCCAAACATAATATAAGCTGACTAAACAAAAATGAACACATTAGCTATAGCATTCAAAGAGCTTAAACAAATAAAACAAGGACTTACCTTATATAAAATCACAATTTAAAGAATTTTTCATAACCTGTTATAACGAACAATGTAACTTATTTTCCAGGTTACTACTTATACTTGTTATGAAACGTTACATGCAGTTATTTTTTAGGTGACCTAATCGTTTTGATAGTTCTATAGAAATTCATTTACACTATTAGCATATAGAAGTTAAAATCATAACACGTTACTTAATTGCGAGACAACTAATAAGGGGAGAAGAGGGAATTGTTACCTGTCCAGCAAGCCTATCGACTTCAAAACTGATGTCTGATATAGTTTTAGCAGCCTTCTCCATCTTGGCATTCTTTCTCATCTCAAGGTACCGTTTCTCTTGGCTAATTGGGTCTTCAACTAGCACAATTTTGGACTTGTCCTTAATACCAGACATATCAAGGAACGCATTGTTGTCCCTTTCTTTGTCTTTGTACAATAACTTTTGATCTTGGTGGTGCAGCCCTGTTGGCCCCGTTAACATCTTCTTCAATTCCCCTATAATTCCATAACACAAATAATGTTTTTTGAAAAAAAAAAATTATTACGGAGATGCTATAGTAACTATAATGATTTAAAAAAAAGACNGATTTTTAAAAAAAAAAGACTTTTTGACTTTTTTTTACTTACCGAAGGTTGCTTGAGCACTGATATTGATTTCGTGGTAAATGGAACCATACTTGACCCGAACCCGAATAGTGGGAGGAGGAGGACGGTTTTCAGAATCCGGGTTACGCTTCTGGACCAGCATTCCACCGGGTCGGACCTCCCACTCGTTCTCGGTGGCACGGTCTCTGCCGACGGCTGAAGCTCCGTTCATCATCGGAGGCACAGCGGTGGTTTTGGTCTTCATACGCATCATTTTTGGTAATGAAAGAAGAGGGAGGGGTGGTAAACGAAAATATTACTAAGAAAATAAATTGAGTAAATGCTGACGTTGAATTTCTGAGGAATCAGATCAAAGCATTGACTTCACAAAACTGAAGTGATTTTAAAGTACAGTAGCAGATATATAGATATCCATTTTAATCTTAAAAGTAGAGATAAACCCCAAAGCCGAAAGCCCAAAATCCAAAAGCCAGTTAGAAACAGTTGTAATATATCGTCTGTAACTTGAGCATTAACACGAGTCCAATAGCCAGCGCCACGCGTGAAGAGAGAGACAAGTTTAACTTAGGCAAAAATACACGCACTGCCGAACTTTCCAGCTATTAGTTGTGCATTTACTCTTTTAAGGAAAGAATCAGTACGAAAGATGAAGACTTGATAAAAAGAAAAGAACAAAAGAAAAAAGAGAATTCTAACCGGAGAATCAAGAAAAACCGATCGGCGGCCGGCGATAATGCCGGAGATAAATTGGACTAGTACGTGGAAGAAATTAGAAATTGAAAAGAAATCGTAGATCTCGTAAAAGACCCAGAAACGCAAAAGAATGAAATGGGGTAGCGCCAAATTTGCCAAAAATAGCGAAACTGACGGGGCAAATCCAAAATAAACCGATTTGTCCGATAGAAAATTTTGGACTAGAATGGATTTCAATGTTGAAATAGATCAGAAACTAGGATTATAATCAGACACAAGAAGAAACTAAATTTTTTCTCTTTTTCTGATTTGTTGGTTTTTTGTGGAGAAGGCTGGAAGAAGATGGGAGACAGAGATGAAAAAATACGATATTACAAAAAAGTATAAATAAATGAATGGACAGCGAACAGAAGAAAAGAGCTAAGAACTCTGCTATACATTTAATTATAATTAAAAAAAGAATTGCATTTGCTTGCCTATTTAATTATTGGTAGGGCATCAGTATGTGTATATTTCTAGAGTAAGTCACGACGAACATTGGAATAAAGGAAGACAGGAGAAGCCGCCAAAGCCTTGTGCTCAAAGTCTAGGATTATTAGTAAAGAAAAAATGGAAACTACGTGGAGAGATTAATATAAGAGAAAATTACCATGTTAAGTATGAAATCAATCTAGATAAAGCTCATCTATAAGAACTTAAATCAGTAAATGCACTGCTTTTGCGACTTTGACTACAAATTTAGCAGAAACGTAGTTTGACTCAGCACGAAATTTAAGAAAAAAAAAATTAAAACTTGTGGTCTTAAAAATTTAAGAGATAATAGGTTTGTGGGGTCATGATATTTGTTTGACTATAAAAGCATCTCATTAAGAGTAAATGAGTAAAATGAAAAAGTTTAAAGTTGAATTATTTCTAAATTAAAAAATGTGTTATTTGTTTTGGAGCGGACTAAAAAAAAAGTACTCCATCTAAATCTAATATGAAACGGAGGGAGTACTATTTTTTAAAATTCTACTAGCATAATATAAATAGTTCAAACAAAATTTTTGATAAAGTTTATCTACTCATATATACATTATTATAACAAGAAAAAACAATAAGGAAATTGTCAAATACAATGGGGTGATGACTGAAATTTGAGTTGGAGGAGCAATTTTTAAACTAATGGAGAAACCCTTTCACTGAGCAGAGGCCAGAGAGTATTACTCCTATCCGACAGTGACTTTTATTTTACCAATTTTTGTTGTTTTACTTCACAGTGGTTTGTTTTTTCTCTTTTTACCTGCGGTAACTGCAGAATGAACCACAAGCTAAACTGATTGGTCAACTACAAAGAACCAACTTGGCTAAAGCATTTATACACTTTCTTTTTTCACTCCTCTAAGAGAAACAGTTTTCTTTGTAGGATTTGTCCTCAGTTAATTAATACTGCCTTTTTTCACTTTATAATAAATTGGTCTTACTGTTTATTCCTTTACTAAGTAAATTTTTAAATAAATGCATTATTTAAAGAGCTTTGAATTTGACCATAAAAATGACAACATGGCATCCAAATTTTATCAATTTGCCCATGTGTGAGGGAGAGATTTTCTTTAAGTAAAATACTACTATCAATCAGAATTTCTTCCAATACTTTTATCTAAATACAGTAGTAAAATATAAGATATTTCAAGTACAAGTGCCCAACAAAAGAACAATTTACCTAAAAAGAAAAAGGTTGTCTAAATGGGGTAATTGCTTTTCTCCTTTCGTCAGTGAAATTTCTAACTCGTGTATTGAGCAGCCTTCACCCTTTATGTAATCATGCCAATCTAAAAAGGTTACTGCTCCAGGGGCCAATAGTCAATCAGACAAAAGAATTACATGAAATTATTATAATAATAAGTAAAATCAATTACTTAAAAAATAAAATGAAATTTATTATAATAAATAATTAAATTGCGTTGTAATTATTTTTAATTGTATCAAAAAATAGAAGATAAATTTTTAAAAATTAAAATATAGGGTGTGTTTAGTATGAAAAAAATATATTTAAAAAATATATTTTAATTTTTTTATATTTAATTGACTTAAATATTTTAAAACTCAATTATATCATTTTTAAAAAAAAATATTTTCCTTTATATCAAACACACCTTGGAAATAAAAATTATTCGTAATTGAAGTCCTACGTCAACGTAACACAACCAACCAAACAAACAGTAGCACCTACGTCACAGTAAGTCCCGGACACGTGTCAATTGTTTGGACCATCAAAATCCGACCCGCAATCGACTGTGACTGTCTTTAACATTTCCTCTCTTTGAAGCCATGCCAATCTCCACCGACACTTTTGGACCGCTGGATGGACGCAGCTTTTGCTATCTAGTCCACGTGGCAGTTTTAAGATCGTCGATCACGATTCCCACGTGGTCCTTCAATGGTGACCATTTTTCTCTGTTAACCGTTGTCCGACGGAGACGGTACAACCCACTGGCCACTGGTTGTGTGAATATATAAAAGGTCAAGGAAGAGGGGCGGTCGTTAGTTGCTTTGTCTGTTGACTAATTTATTTAATATGGAGTATTTTATTTGCATAATTAATATTTCTTCCATCTCAAAAAGACTGGTGATGTATTCAGTATGATAGCATATGTTTGATTAAACTTCAAATTTTCTTATTCCGGAAAGTGTTGTTTAAAAGAGTATTTATAAAGAGTAGCAATTTATGTTTGATCAATTAATTTAAAAAGTATTTTTTTTAATATTAGAGCAATAATTTTTACTTAATCAAGGTTCCAAAAATACTTCTGAGGGAAAAATTTTTCTTTTTAACTTATGAAAATATCTTAATAACGCTTATATTTTTCCTAAAAACTTGGCCAAACAAACTAGTAGTTCTAAGAAGTTTGACCAAACAGGCGACGAGCTTCAATACTTACAAAATTTTTGTATGAATAACACTTAGAATTAAGGTGAACTAGTCGGGATCCCTTAATCGGTATAACTGAAATTTTACCTTTTTAATCAAGAATTTCGAATTCGAGCGACCTACTACGAACAATTGGATTAATCGAAATAATGAGTTTCCAATATCACATAATTAGAGCACAAATAATTTTTTTGTAATTAAAGCAAAAAGAATTTTGTACGAATTATGCATGAATCTTTAATTCTTTCGAGCTATGATTGACTTGTTGGGTATAATGTCCAACAAGCAGTTTTTTTGTGTATTGTACATATGTTTCAATTTGGTGTATTGCACGTATATAATATGTAATCTACAATTTTCATAGTATATAATGTAAAGAAAAATCTTTAACTTACAAAGTTTTATCACTCCATAAATGGTAATGCTGTGAAACAAATTAAGACTAAAGAAATAGGATATGGTTTCATTAGTAACTAATTTAAGTTATACTAAATTAAGTATTGCTAGGGCTCCCTTCGCCTCCGGGCAAGAATATTATTCGGAGTTTGTCTAGAATTTTAAAAAGAGACAGTGTACCGACACTTTTAATAGTTTAATAATTAGACTAAACTGGTTATTGTTTATATTTGGTAGTAGTAGCGGTTTCGTCGAAATACCGTGGGATTAATGTTTGAATTTACTCAGCTTTTTGTGATGTTGATATTTTACCATCTTCCATCTACTACTGAGAAGTGACCACTTGCCAAAACATTGTTTCCTTGTATGTTGTATTGCTACAATAATACTTCATTTTTACTTCGTCCCAGTAGTGGTCGTTTAACTAATGCCTCTCTTTTCCTCTTTTTTTTTTTTTTTTTTTTTTTGGGGAAAATTATCATTACGTACATAGAGTCCAAAGTCTCGTGCATTCTCATGATGAGAAGACTTGAGAAGGATAGTCGACTCAACATGGCAACCAACAGGTTATTCTCAATGCTTGTTTTTGTACTCGGAAAATTAAGTTTACCATAATTTCCTCCAAACTGGCCGCGTGAAACTAACTATCCTAAAATGCGCTGCTATTTATTTCCAAAAAATTATTACGAATCTCTTTTAGTTTTCTATCTTGTTCATATGCAACTGTTAAACTTTGCCGTATGAATTTACTCACATTGTCGATTTACTAGTCTATTTCCGATGAATATAGATGTGAATATAATTTAAAAATATGCAAGGTTGGAATTCATATAACGGATTCCATCTTGATTAAGCTGCTGTAATTTTTTATTCTACATAAGTGAAGGAAAAAAGAATACAGGGGAGTCAGAAGCCCAAGTGGAAGTTAGTAACCAACCAACTAAATTGCCATAATTCCTATAGCGTTGCTGTTATATCCACGTCCCACGATTTACTGCTAGATCTTGGTCAAACTCTCTCTTTTTTTTTTCTTTAAAATTTTTCTGTAATACGTGCAAAATCATCTGTAATCCTTGCATGTAGACATGTAAGCTAATAAGGGCTGCAAATATTTTAATCTTTTAGCATGTTTCTAATCACAAATGTCAATCAGAGGATTAAAAATCTAACCAATGGCCAAATTCGCAAATGCACTACAGCTACGTATACACATTTATCATTTTCACAGAAACTGGAAGTCAACTAATTATAACCCAATTGACCCACCAAAAGATCTCGATATTTCGTCATTTTCTTCTTTTTGGGGTATTAATTGGAACATATCATACAGTGTGGGGTTCTCTTAATTAAGCCTTCTTTTCCCGTAGCTGGCGTATTTAATTAGTTTATTCTCTTTAATTCCCTTCTCTTACTCTTGTTTTATTGTATTTCTATCACTTTATTATTTTCCTAAAGTATATAATACTCCTACTTGGCAGACTGTGACAAAACAACACTGAACATTGAAACGTTCAAACAAACATTTTTAATCTAAAGTCTTTCATATCTGGCCAAATTTTAGATTTTTGTCCCAGTTATTTTTATAAAAACATCTCATGTGATTTAACTAAATCACCTCCACCTTCTTTAGTTTCATTTTTTGCTTCTAAAGAAACTTAACTCAAATGATAATTAATTTAAGTTATATAGATTGTCAATGTAAAAGAAATATCTAAACTATACGGTCATTCAAAGGATATCAACAGGTAAGCCTGATTTGGAGTCTTAATTAAAAATAAATCAAGTTACCCGTTATAATAGGTAAAGATCAACCCCATAATGTAAAAGAATTTTATATTTTGTTATGTGTATATATCTTAAATTAAACTCAATGATAAATTAAAACTATAATATGATATTGCAAAACTGTCCTTCGTGGCATAATTACTACTATGTTGATTATAAGTTTTACAACATAACCTTCACTCAAATTTGGATTTTTGAAGTTACAACAAAGAGTACTTACTACACAAATGGTGCATGTTTGCCTGAGTAGCTTTTTGTTACGATGATTGTGTCACGACCCGGTTTTTCCACTCTCGAGAGTCGTGATGGCGCCTACTGGTGAAAGCTAGGCAACCC